CGTACGTACGTACTACGTGTGTGTGTGTGTGTGTGTGTGTGTGTGTGTGTGTGTGTGTGTGTGTGTGTGTGTGTGTGTGTGTTTAAAAGAAAACCCAACAGATTCTGAGAAATAAATATCAGACAGACTCTAGTTGGATTCTATTTCTCTAGTAATATGGTGTACTGGAATAGATCTGTTTCAACTCACTGAATGTGAATTTAAATGCTGAGTAGAATACAAATTCACTTTAACCTTTGCTGTCAGCAACTGTATGTAGTTTATTTGTATGTAGTTTTGGTTTTTACCATTTTTCTATATGCTTTATTTGTTAAAATCTATAGCATAATTAATAAACTTTAGAAATTAAAGAAGATAAAGGGAAATATTATTCCCTACTAAAAGAATAAGAGAGGACAGTGAATAAAATAATTGGCTCTTAATTCCTCATAAGTATCACAAAAACCCTGGGTAGTATTTCAAAGCAAGGACTGTATACAGGATGATGTGATTTTTACCTTGCATATTGTCTCATGAAGCTAGAAAAAGCCCAAATATGTAGCACTAAATTATTTTCATCATCTTTGATTACGTAAATCTCTTTCCATCCTTGATCAATGTATTGACCAGTCCAAGTTTAATTAGAAAAACAATTTGTTTTCAGTGAAAAGAAGGTGTTTGGTTCCTGACTATCCTTCTGATCATTTTGCTTAAGAAACCAATGCATCAGCTGAGTTTTAAATTAGAAAGCCTATCTATGGGGATGCCTTATCCTTGAATATTCTGCCAGATGAGCTTTATCCTGAAGAGTCAGTCTACTTGACTGCACTTCTGTGGATCTTGACAATAGTGCATTAATGTCATAAGCCAGGGAAGTAACCAGTATTATATTAAAGTCCACAACCTTTGCTATTATGAAGGATCAACATTTCCATTATAAACTACTATCATCAAAGCTTTATAACTCAATCATAAAAGCTCAGTGTGGGTTACAACTTGCAAATGGTTTTATCTTGGGAGCATCTTTTTCAGGTGTTCCTAAACTATAAATTTACAAAATGAAAAACACCAAAATTTTACCTTTTGTTGTTGTTTGTTTTGGTTTGTTTTTTTGGAAGATGAGGGGCAAGGGAAAAGAGATTCTTGTAAATGAAGTGTGAAAATGAACTTTTTAAGCCTCTTAAATGGGGGGGCAGAGTTATCTGGTGGTTTGCACAGGTAAAAAACACTAAAGAGGAAGGAAGTCATAGAAACAAACATGGCCATAAACTAATGACCAGAAATAGCTATAATGCAGTCTGAAATAGCAGGCAAGTCTGATACAAACACCGAGAAGATAATAAGGTGATAAGTAACAGTCAGCATTGATTTGTCAAAAAGAAATCATGTCAAACCAGCCCAATAGCTTTCTCTGACAGTGTAACAAGCCTTGTGGATTGGGGGAGAGTGGTAGACGTGGTATATCTTGACTTTAGTAAGGCTTCTGATACTGTCTTGCATGACCTTCTCATAAACAAACTAGGGAAATACAACCTAGATGGAGCTACTAGAAGGTGGGTGCATAACTCGATGGAAAACCTTTCCCAGAAAATAGTTATCAGTGATTCACAGTTGAGTTGGAAGGGCATACCCAGTGGGGTCCCATAGGGATCAGTTCTGGGTCTGGTTCCGCTCAATATCTTCATCAATGATTTAGATAATAGCCTAGAGAGTACACAACAGTGAATTTGTCCTGTAATATTCAGACTTGCACTAATTTATTTCTCTGGTTTTGCTAGGTTTTCCTGGAGCCAAAGGGGAGATTGGATGACAAGGTCAGCCTGGAAATCCTGGACAAAAAGGATCAAAGGGAATTCCAGGTATAGTGACCATAGCAAGCAATTAATAACAATATAGACAAGACATTCAAGTTGAGAAATTTGTCCTGCCTGATTTTGAAATGATCCCAGAAGAACTGTTTGATAAGATCAGACCTGATCATTCATCTCAAAAATATCTCTCTCCTCAGGATGGATGGCAATGCTTAAATAACTATTGCACAATGTTTTCCCCTCCTCTTGTCAGCTATAAACTATAAAGTACTATAAAAAGAAAGATCAGCGGGCATACTCCAGCCCTGAGCCATCTGATTTACACCACTCTGGAAGCACAAAGTGGGTAGAAGGCTAACTTAAACAGCTATTTGGGGATTCCCTCAATGTAGGACCCCTGTATGACAACTGACCCCTTCTTGAGTTTTGTGTAAGGGGCACATCAGCGATGTGCCTATGGAAAATTGTTGTGGCTATAACTACTGTGTGTTTCAGTCATTCCAAACTGCTGGAACATTCCTTGGAGTGCACTAGAGCTAGATGCCACTTAGGGCTTGTCAATACAGCGTGTTAGTCCTCACCAGTGGTGTGTAAATTCTAGTCCACACAATCATGTCATGCACTAACTGGTCCATGTGGACCCTGCTGGCATGCACTAAAAGTTCCCTAGTACACGTTAAAGTAGTCGTGTTTCAAACAGTACTGTGTTAACCTGCACTAGGGAACTTTTAGTGTATGTCAGAAGGATCCATCTAGGGCAGTTAGTATGCTACACATTGGTGTGTACTAGAATTTATACCCCACTGGTGCAGATTAACACATCATGTAGACAAGCCCTTAGAGCATCCCTGAGACCACCCTAAATTGTGCCAAGGACAGAACCAGCTCTCAACTGGCCCTAGTTATAGAGGTATATACCCATTAATGTCCCCACTCTGCTCCTTTCCACACATACAGCACTCAGATGCAGCTGAAGACTGAACTCTATGTTGTAGATACAACATTTTGAGTTATAGGTATTGCTTCAGACCTTGAACACATTTACATTTTATCTCCTTCTAAAATGCAGACATGCCAGATGGACCTCCAAAGATCTCGCTTGTTTCCTTCCTGTTTTGAGTAGTTCAGATGCTTACCCAAAGTTTCTGAAGTCTAATTTTTCTCTCTTTCCACATTCAGCATCTTTTACCCTTTTGTCCAATCAAAGCATTCTGCATTATTTCTCCCTTTCTCTAGTGATGCATTCTATTGACTCTTAATTTGATCACTTTTGACTCCTAACAGACACCCCCTGATACCTCAGCATCTTCTTAGGTGAAACATATATATGTTAAAGGAGCCCACACTCTCCTTTAATTTACACTTTCTTTTGGCTTCCTGCAGATTTCACCAACATAAACTCTCTGACATGTCAAACGAGAGGGTGTAGCTAGAGCTAAGGGAGTCTAGCAGTACATGGTAGTCTAAGTGAGAGCCAAGAAGTCTCTGTTACACCATCTTATTCAGCACTTCTGAATTTAGTCCCATATGTTTTAAAAAAATATTTCTAGGGGATTTCTGAGCTTTTTTTAACTCACTCCCAGCTTAAAGGCAGCATTTTAAAATTTGAAAATTGACAGCCAAATCTGGACTGGTGCCTTTCGCTTGATTAAAAAGGCTTTTAGAGAGCTGTGAAACCCAGCTTTAAAAAGTGACTGCATAGGTTATTTTGGAGAGAGAGTCCAAATATGGGATGAAGAAAGCAGAGACTTTCTTTATACTAACATTGAGTGAGAGAACAAAGCAAATTCAGCACATCTCAGCAGTACTGTCAATACATTCTGCTATTATGTATTTTAGATATAGTTTTGTTTCTGAGCTAAATTTGCTATACTACAACATGGCTTAAAATGACATTTTAAAGCTGGAAATATGTTTCTTTTTTAACTAAAACATACAATTAACATTAATTTAATTAATACCATTAACCTAGAAAGTTTTTAAAAGTTTTCCATTGAGCTGTTCACTGTTACTTAGTACAAGAATATACATATCATGGCATTACACTTAATTATATTAATTGTGTAGTGTAACGGGGTGGTCACCCCACTCTGGTTTGGAAGGGGTTAAAAACAGCCCTGGGAAAGGGCTGCCCCAGGGAGCCAATCATGAGCGGGCTTGAGGCAGTCAATCAGGGCCCGGCTGAGCCAGTATAAGAAGGGCTTCTGGGAAGAAAGAAGTCAGTCTTGCTCCAGCAGTGGAGCAAGAAGGAGCTAGCTGGTTGGTAGAGACAGGGAGTACCTTGGACAGAGCAGTACAGGGAAAGGGCAGGCTGAACTGGGCAGCTCTGGCCTGGCGACTTCCCAGGCTGAGCACTTGCAGCAAAGGCCTGAGCAGATACTAGGGCTGCAGGGAGGCAGCCAGGCCAAGAAAAGGCAGCATGTTAAACTCCTTGCCAGTGGTGAGTGGTCATTTCAGAGTGCAGTTTGTCCCTGAGAGAAGGGGCTAGATGATGAGTGGCAGTAGCCATTGAGGTAAGGTGTGTATGGGGTGTTGGGGTTCCCCTGAGAGAGGAGATCCAGAGTGTGGGGGCACTGCTGTGGGGCAGCACCCCAAGGTAAGGGGCACTGGTGTCCGGGAGGGACATGGGGCCAGAGGTGGTGGAGAGAACGGGACAGGTAACTGAGGGTGAGAAACCGGCCAGAGGAGGGTGCTCCTGAGCTGGATGAGCTAATTTCTGGACTGACCAGCAGGAGGCGCTGCACCGGTGATTGCCCCACCTTACTACATGTAGACAATGATGATAAATTAGGTACTGTTTCCTTTACACCAAAATAAGTCACTTTATATAAAAGATGACAAATAGCACAGTAAGGAGTCTGGTGGCACCTTAAAGACTAACAGACTAGTTGTTTTTGTAGATACAGACTAACACGGCTACCCCCTGATAAATAGCACAGTGTAGGAAAGGGAAATTAGAGAAAAGGGGAGAGTTAGAACAAAAGAATGAAGAGGGAGAAAGGAAAAAAGCAAGGAAGAGACACACAGAAAAAGGAGACACAAAGAATCAGAACAATTTTTCTTGCCTTTTGAATTTTTTTATTTTTTATTTTATTTTAATTTTTTGGAAGCTGATGACTTTTTTATTTGTACATAAAACTGTATACACTAGTACGCACTAGCACACTAAATACCAATGCAAGCCATTATCATATGCACTTAGCCGAGAATGCTGCTCCATAAATATATTCCTGCATGGAGCCAACAGGAAGGTTGCTGAATGTTCAGCACTTTTGAAAATCAAGTCACTTATTCAGGTGCCTAGAAAGGATTTAGGAGGCTAACTGTAGGTTCCTATTTTTGCAATTCTCAAGTAGGCATTTTTGACCACAAGTTCACTGGAAATGTAGCTAGTGGTAGCCACATTTATGCATTTGGGAGATTTTTTTTGTCACAGAGTTATTTTGAATACATTTTTGTCTTTGTATTTAATTTCCTTAACATGCAATACCAATATTCATCAATAGCTGTCCCTGTTCCTGAGAAGTTTTACATGTAAATTAACTCATTGTAGAAACTTCAGGAAAATCAGATGCACAAGAAACCAAATCACTATTGTACACTAAGCATAATCCCAAAAACTGAAATTGCTCTGTCTGTGGTAGGATTTGGGTGCTCGGCCTGAAGCTTTGAATATGTAGTTGAGTTTCATTGCTCTTGTTCCCTATATCTCTATTCTTTTCTTCAAGATAGCCACTGTCAGAATCTGTTGTTGCATTTTCTAGATATGTAACTTTCCCTCATTTTTATTTACGATTTTGTCATTCCAACAATTTGATGCAGTTTAATGATACAACTACTTGGCAGCAGCATTGTACCAATATATTTACAGTAATGCACTCTTCTTGTATCTGAAATATGTTTTTGTTGGATGAAAATAAGATACATGGCAAACAGGAGCAGCCTCTCTGGAAATATGAGCTACCCTAGTCCCTGGGAGGGAGGGGAACACACATGTGATATCTTGAATCTCAGGACAAGTCTAGGAGGTAGATTTTTGCTGTTAAGCCATCATGGATGGAGCTGGTTAAAAAGGCATACCTCTCGGTGGGTGCTCCCAGAGATATTGAGCCTGAGGCAGGCCCAATGTCCTCAAAAGAATGTTTATAATGACAACTTATAATGTCTTTATTATAAACATTATAGTTGTTTGGTCCAGTCCAACTTATAATGTTTATAATAAAGAATACACCAGAGCAGTGTCTGCTACATCCTTAGAAAATAGGTGGCATGCACTCCCCACCTCTACATGGGCCTATCTCATGGTGCTAAATGTGGACCAGGACCACAGCTCTGCCTTCAACTTGCTCTTCCCCCTTTTGGAGGCTGGCTCAGGGAACACAAGGACTGGGATTGTGCATTTCCAGTATGTGGACACAAGAGGAAGAGGGCTTCTTGCACTCTGTTACCAACCCCTTACACTCCTGCTTAGAACCAGCCACAGTCTAGCTTCATTTAGTGAAAGAAGAATTTGTAATCATATTTTAATGATATCCTTTTACCTCCAAGTAGAGGAAAATAGATAGCAAGTGTAGTGTAGTATGTGCTACATGATTGTATTCTTGGATTTCTGATGTATTTCAGCTAATTTTGGGGGTCAGCTTATTTTTTTATTTTTGGCTACGTCTACACAATGAGCTTGGGATGTGATTCCCCTGCTTGGGTACACATCTCATTTGAGTATAATTAGTAGCGTAGCCACAGTAGCATGGGCAGCAGAGGCATGGCATAGCCATGTTGAACACAAACCAGTGGGTATGTACTCAGCATGGCTAACCCTAAACCTCCTGTCTGCTGCTACCTGTGCTACTGTGACTACACTGCTATTTATGCTTGCACCAGCTCAATGAGAGCTCTGAATATGTATGTATTATAACCAAATGATGAAACAAAGGCATTACCTGAAACCACTGCAAGTTGTTTTTTCAGAACAGAGCTGTGGTACAAGTAGACATCTTCTGGCACCTGTGTAATTTATGTGACAATGCCAATGGTTCATAAAGCTTTGCTAATCCTCGTCTTCATGTTGCCACAA